TAGGAGCTGGAACCAACTTCCAAGGGAAGTGGTGCTGGCCCCTACCCTGGGGGTCTTTAAGAAGAGGCTGGATGCCTACCTGGCTGGACTCATTTGAGTCCCGTTTTTGTTTTGGGGTTTTGTTGTTCTCCCGCCCTGGCGGGGGGTCGGGCTAGAAGATCTACTAGGTCCCTTCCCACCCTAAATCTATGAAACTATGCTCTGAATAGTGATTTTGGACTTTGCTTTCCTAGTTCCATGTACATTTATGCTACACACTCCCATAAAAAAAATCTGTAACCTTCTACCTTAGAATTTTGGACCCAGGAAGTCTGTGACAAATGTACAGAACATCTGTTTATAGAAGAAAATAATACTGTGCTGTTAGCAGTCTGAAATCAAATGTCCAGTATTGCCAAGTTAGGTCTTCATACTATTTAGCAAGTTTCATCTGCTGGTGAATATTTATTGTTCTGCATGTTATATAACATAATACTCTGACACTTGGGCACTCATCTAGGGTAAGACCTAACAAGACATATATTATTGCATATACACGGGTATCAGTTCAAATCCTGACAGCAGTTCAAATCCAGATAGCATTTCTTCTATTTAATCAAAGCCAGGATTTAGGAATGCTGAGACTCTTACTTGAATGCTTTCTCTGTTAGCCAATGAAGACAAAAGATGTGGCTTACTTTCCCTTGCCTGTGATGGAGAAACGTGTTACAGCCAGATTGACTTGATGACACTGTTGTCTGGGGGAAGTCAAACCTGCATAGCAAGAGAACTGCAGTTTTCTCCATACATTATAGTAAGGAAAAACAAAGACTGCAGAAGAAGTATATTAGAGCCCAAATTCTTCGTAAATTTAGATTCCTGAGCCCTCAGCAAAGACAAGTTTGCAAATCAGCCAGGGGATTGGTGTGCAGAGCCACAGGAAACAGTTGTGAGGGACTGTACGAGGTGCTCCAGCTGATTGGAAAAGCAGTACCTTTTGAAGATAAAAGCCATAACAAAAAACAGCTGTGAGCTGATCTTTAAATTTAGCTCTCACTGAGTTGCTAAGTTAGCTGCAAACCACTCATACCTACATGATTCAGGTGCTACTGTATTCAGTTTAACTCTCAAATGTACTCTCGTGTAAACTAGGAAGAATGTGTGGTATTGTATAGATTAGTAACCCAAAAGAAACTTACCAAAGCAAACTGATTTACTTGAACATACAACACTTCAACCTCCTTGTCAGTAACATCTGTGCCAAATCCTTTATACTCCTTGTAGGCTTCAAGGTAAGATCTCAGCCACTGCTCCTGTAATTCCCTACTGGGATAAAGGCTATAGTCTACCTCATTCACCCCTAAAGAAAAAGAACAACAAAACAAACGACCTTCCATCAGGTTTTTGGATGGCCGTATGATGTTAAGAAGCTCATTTCCCAGAAAATCTGCATATTTGTATAATATATGATTTACTCTGAAGAATTCCAGATGTTCATGTTGATGGCTACAGCAATAAAAAGTGCAACTCAATTGTGAATGATTTGGTACTTGCGTATTCGGCTACTGCCAACATACATGTGTACTTCTGTACTTTGATATACATGAACAACAGTACATTTCCCCAGCTACATGGGAGAAGCCCCATGAAATAAAGCATTACAAACCAACAACCTTCTGAGGAATATTCAAAAACCTGTTTAATTCTAGCAAAAGAAAGAAGAAAAGAAAAGAATGATTTTACGTTATCTGAATTTTTTCTTACTAAACATGAGACACTCATGTGTATGTATATTTTATCATGGACAAAAGAAGAATTTTCTGTGCATCCAGTACTGCACCACCATAAACTAATCCCCTCTTCTACTGACTCTTAACATTTGGAAGTTTCACTTGCTTCTAATTATACCATCCTTGATCAAAGTTTTATTTTTTGCCTATAAAGAAGCCTACAAGTTTGCCTGCATTACACACTACAATTCTCTTTGTATGCTAGTGCCTCTACCTCAATTCCACATCTGCTGAAATCATCAATCACACCTTCCTCTATCTCAAATTCCCTCGGACTCCTGTGAATCAGATTCTGCCCAAAGAAAAGGGTAGTCCTGTACATGCATGGAATCATAACTTAACCCCTTTCCATTTTGGGATTTGGGATTCATATCTGCCCTTTCAAATCACAGGAATGTTTTAAATTCAGAGGTTCTTGACTTTTGTCAATCTATTCATCTAGCACAAATCCTTTGCCATCTCTCTCACTGTTGGTGCCTGAAGGTACTCTGATGTTTCAAGCATCTGTTAAATCTGAAGCACTCAAATTGCCAAAAACCTTGGCTGAATTGTCTGAGAGGAGCAGCAGTGCACAAGGCTGTCCTCATCATCTCTCTCTATGCAACATACTACAAAGCAAACATGGGTAGGTATCAAAATACATATATACACTGCCAGACATTTTGAAAAATTAACTAACATAACTGCTTTAAAAATCTCTACTTTGGGCAACAATGCCAAGCAGACTAGAATTGGTGCATTTACATCACTATACTGTAGTAACTGGTATCACAGAATTTTTACTACTTTTTTTTGATGCAACTGGCTACGGGTGCACTGATATATATTTTTTTTGGCAGACAAAGGGCATTTAGAGAACCATACAGGACCAAAAACTTTTTTATGGGGCAGGTATGGTCATTCCTTGGTTTTTAAAGTTTTCTTTGGGAAACTTAACCTCAAAAACCAAGTTAACTTGGTACCAAGTTAAGTATGTCTTAACCTTTTTCTCATAAATCTGCACAGTAACAAGGCATTAGACTTAGGTTAACAAGGATATCAAGACTGAGTCACTATCAAGTCTCCATAAAAAACTATGCAAGGAATCACAAGTCTGCTATTTGAAGGTGGAGAATATCACGTAGCACAGACATGATTCTCTGGCCACACCTACACTCTGAAGAATGGAACATGACAGCACCTCACAATACTTTTACTATTCTTTTTTAATTCTAGAGAGAAAGGAAGATTAATCATAGAAATATAGAAAATTAGGGTTGGAAGGGACCTCAGGAGGTCATCTAGTCCACTCCCTTGCTCAAAGCAGGGCCATCCCCAATTATAGCATCCCAGACAAGGCTGTCTAGCCAGGACTTAAAAACTTCCATGGATGGAGATTCCACCACCTCTTTAGGTAACTTGTTCCAGTGCTTCACCACCCTCCTAGTGAGAAAGTTTTTCCTAATATTCAACCTAAACTTCCTCTGCTGCAACTTGAGACCACTGTTCCTTGTTCTGCCATGTCACCACTGAGAACAGTCCAGCTCCATCCTCTTTGGAACCCCCTTCAAGTAGGTAAAGGCTGCTATCAAAACCCCCTCAGTCTTCTCTTCTGTAGAAAAACTCCCAGTATTTCTTTTTTTTTTTCTTTTAAAATTCATTCCCTCCCCTTCCCCAACAATTTCTGACTTTGTCTCTCCCTCTATAGATAAGTATAAGCAAGCCAAGATGTACATAGTAAGTTTTATTTTTCTCTTCCCTCTGCAAATAAGTGACCTGCTATTTTGATACAGCTATCCACGGTTCTATAAGGGATAATTATTATGTTTGTCCTGCTTTTATATTGTGCGATTACTGTTTTAGGCCTATATATGTAAGTTAGCGTAAGTTACGTCAATTTTCCATCTTGTAATGTCAAGCCTCCATCTTATCCCCATGCCCAGTTGTGTAACCTATGACTCATACTACCCCTCCTATGCAACTTGGTTCCTGAATGGATGGGGATGAATGAGGGTGCTTGAGAGACAATGGCAGGAGGTCTAAAAATAGCTCCTTCTGAATGACCGAACCATCAACACCAATACCTGGACCAACAGCCCAGCCCTTGGAACCATCTTCAGCATTCAAGAAGCAAAAGATGAGGCAACCCACCATTGTGCCAAGGCTGCACATGCTCAGTAAGAACACGTGAAGCCCTCTGGAACAGGACTGACATTGCCTGGACAGGCCCTCCCCATAGGAGATCAGAGGTAGTCTGCCCCAAAAAGGGATAGTGAAGACCGACTCCTTGGGAATGCTATTTCCATCTGGACCAGACCAGCTCCATATCACACCACCTATCCACCCCAAAGGCCCTGCCGGAGACCCCCCTCTGGACCCCCCAAGCTGAAGGAGACCCTGACTGGCCATCGAGGACCCACTTTCAGCCTGGGATAGGTAGATATCACCTACATATTTCCTCCTCCAATCTGGACTCCCAGACCCTTCACCAAGCCTCTTTAACCCCTGCTGCCTGTCTGCGTGCAAAGGAACCAATAAAATATTGTGTCACCATCTCCCCTTTTCAATAAGACTATTATCATTTGTAACCCCGAGTTGGGTTGCATTTTACTGAGCCCCGGTCCCTTCCCCTTCTTAAGTTCCAGTCTCTATCTCTCTCTCTCTCCGCTCTCAGCCCTGTTCCTCCCACTTTTTGCCTCCTCTCTGTCCCTTTTCTGCAGGCTCGCAGGCCTGTTGCTTTCTGGCGGGAGCGAGGCTGTGAGCCTGCACTTTTTGCCTCTTGCCACCTCTTACCAATCCCTATCTCTCTGCCTTCTCTTTCACTCTGTGTTCTCCACCCCACCCCCGCCCCACTCCTAGTTTTCCTCTCTCCACGTACCTCTCTGCTCCCCTGTAGCCTCCTTGCTCAGCTCCAGCCTCCGGGCTTCTCCCCAGCATCGCTCCTTTGCTCTGCTGGCTTTCTGCTTTCAATTAACAACAATTAACCTTAAATTATCCCAACTTCCCTCCAGTCTGTTGGTTCTAATCCCAGCACTGGTATCTTTAGGTTACTGCTGGTGGAGACTGAAATTAAAGTAACCCCAAGCCTCAGCTCCTTAGCCCAGCTCTCTCTAGTTTACTGGTTCTAATCCTGGTCCCGGCAACTTTCACCCCCCTAAACTTTCACTCTGTCTTACCTTAACCTTCCCCCAGGTATCCCAAGTACACCAAGCACATACATACACACCACAACACCCAAGTCAGGAACTCACCTGTATGTGTAGGTGAGTGGTATGTATGTGAACCGATATACATGTATGTCACTGTGTGCATGATATATGAATTAGTGATCCGTGTATGCATATTGGGTGTGCAGGTATTGGTAACTGATTCTGGTTTAATTTCTTTTGGTCTGCATAGTGTGTG